TGGAAATTAAGTGCATGGAAGTGACCACTCTGAACTTAGAAACAACTACAGTAAATTACAATGTAAAATAGGAAATCTAAAAACAACCCATCCATCCAAACCATAATTATTGACAGTAGTTTTCACCTATGCAAGACTCTCCTACAGTAATTTAGGTAATATTCTAGTACAAGACCTTGATAGTAAGGTTGTTGTAACTTGTCCTACATACAAAGAGTACGTAGCCAATGGGTACCCCAGGCAAATTCTCTTAGTTGTTTTTTAAATTACTATTTCAGGCATTTTTCTACTTCACCTGAAATAAGCTCTGTGTTTTCTTGGCTACTTTAATGCATTTTTATGTGTTTGAAGTAGATTTAGAAATTCAAAGCTCAGTATGCAAGAGTTAGTAGCATTCATAATGCAAGTTGATTCTGATCTGTATATGATTCAGTGGATTGAATTGCTCTTGATTTATTGAATTTCTTTGGTTTAAGGTGAAACAGTGAATGTATAGCACTTTCTGAAATCTGGTCTGAAAGTTGAATGCATTAAAAAGTCTCTGGAATGTATGAAAAGGCAGGTACTAGCAAATGGGGGAAAAAAGAACATTACAGAGTGAATATGCTTTGTAGTTTGTAATAAACTGTAAATATACTCAGGACTCTGGCAAGACACATGCTGTGGAATAGTTCACTCCTTGAGACATTCCTGAGAGGATCAAGGCTATGTGACTAGAAAATAAGAGCAATGGATAATGGAGCATAATATTTTTTTTGCAGCATATCTTTGATGAGTGCACATGGTTGGTAGAATTCTGTAAGATACTTGTAACTGTCAGGGCTTGTTTTGTATGCTGAAGTGAGTTTAAAACTAATTTTTGACCTATGAACACAGGACTGGCCCCAGGATTAGACAGTGGAATTTGAAGAGAATTAGCCAGATGGTTTAACTACACCATAAAAAGGGAAGAGACCTGTGTGACTGCCATTACTTTGGCTGTGAAAGTGACAAAGCCCAGCTACTCATGAGAAGTCCTGCCTCCCTGCCCACTTCTAGGAAGCATTTCAAGTGCCAGTTATTTAATGAAGGTAGCTATCTTTGCAGTTTCATGTGTTCTCCTCAGTCTTCTCATTTATGTAGCACTCTGCAGCCATAGTTCAAAGTGAAATCCCTATGGATGAGTTCAATGGTGCCTCCATTTTTAGATTGACTACTCCAGGAAGAAGATGCAGCTTCTTTCATAGTTGTTCCTTGCTGCTTGTGCTGCATTTATTGCCCTCTTGGGCTGCCCACCTTGCCCACAGGCAAGGAAGTTTTCCTCATAGCAAAAGGCTCCAGAGGAATTGTAGTCATGAAGAAGGAGATGTTGATAGCCATATTCTGTAGCAAAACCAGGTGGCAAACCTTCCGATATAGTTTTTAAGGCTCAGCAATTAAAGAGCTAATATTCTAAAAATAAAACAGATAAGAAGTTGACTGCTCTAGCTCCTTGAATAGTTAAAAAACAGCTGCAATGATCTAGACTGGTGGGATTTATGAGACACTATTTCTGTAATTCAATATTCATGTGACTGCTATGGCCAAGATTCTTTCTACTTTGTTGGTATCCCCATGAATTTAGATATTGGTGAGTAGAATTGACTGACTGACAAACTTACCCAGTCTTCATGGAATAGGATTCAGCATTGTACTGCACATAGAAGCTTTATTTGTAACTAAAAGAAATCATAATGGTGTATTTTGGAAAAGTAAGAATGTTTTTATAGACTCTGTTTCTGATCTAATGTTTCACTAAATTGCAGTTCATAGAAAAACAGAAATGGCCTTTGATAACTCTGCGTGTTCCTGAGTGGTCCACTGAGAAAAGTGAGAACATAAACATGTTGGATTGTCTTTTACAGTTTCATCTTTTCTTTTGACCATTATAATGGGAATGAGGTTCAAGAGGTCCAAGAAATTAATGCCAGCCGGACTAGTAGCATGCCTGAGGTAAATACATATTGCAGATCTTATGGTAAAGATTTCACAGGTTATCAAATAGTTGCCATTTCACACCCTATTCAAGACACTGTTGGTGGAAGTCACTGTCATTCAGCAACTATACAGCTTCAGTGAAATTAGTTTCGAGGTCACAGTCCTGTTTCCAGTGAGCAGCTTTTTCATCTTACTAGGCAGATACAGCTGGTGAGAAGGGACTTTCTCAGCACAGAAAGGAGAGGGCAGCAATTAAATATTAATGCATATTGATAAGGCATTTGGAAGAACCTAGATAAACCTTAGTGTTTTCGAACACATACATATAAAATTAGTCTAATTTCATACAACACAGTCATCTTAGAAAAAAAGGCCAACACTTTGGTTTAGAAGTGCTGCATTCAAAACTACTGGAAGCACAATACTGTTGAAAAACAGGACATTTTAGACCTGACCTAAGAACTTTGGCCAGTATTAATGCAAATTTAAAAAAAAATCTGGCTGCTCCAGCTGCTTTATTGCTGCTGTTCAGCATTCTGGAAAATATGATTTTCTGAATCTATTAATTTGGAATTAAATTATGGAGTAAGTTCAAAACTTTTTTCCCAATTAATCTGTAGTGCAAAACATTTTCGAGGTGTAAATCAGAATCCCCATCTCCTGAAGGAATAGTAACGGTTGCTTTTTCATTTTAATATTACAGATTTAATATAACACCATTCTGTTTTACTTCAGTTACATACAGGGAGGAAAAAATCAGAAGCAATTTGTCAACATTTAAGAATCGGGACTTACACTGGAAAATGTTACTGTCCATTGTGGATTGCTTTTCAGCCTAGGTGGGCTTTGTTTTTCTAGACACTAAGACTGGAGATCTGGACACCTGAAAAGACAGCTCAATAGAGACTCTAGTGTCAGTTATTTATGAATGCACTCTTATTTAATGATGACTTACACTCATTTTATTAATGACAGCCATATTTATGTTTTCTTGTTTTATTTTTTTTTTCAGCCTATTGATGATTTTGAGGCTTGTTTTTATGCTGCTGTAGGAGAATTTAGAACTGAGAATTTAGAATATGACTGCCATGCCCACCAAACAGACATGCTCTCCGTACTTGAAAGACAAGTTTGAACACAAGTCTTATACTGCATTTATATTTTCTGTAAAAGATCTGTACCTGTTAATCAATTATTGATATGTTGATATTTTAAAAGCTTTTTTAAAAACTAAAGCAAGTGTTTTGTTGGTATATTTTGATCTACTTTCATTTAAGCGGTCTATTAACTCATGGGATTTTTCTTTGTAAGTTTGATCTCTTTTAGGGGTGCAGAGCGCCCCAGGAAATTGAATTACTCTTGCACTGTATCTCTGAAATAATATCTATAAATACATGTTTATGCTAAAAAGGTATCTTGTATTGAAGTACAATTTTGTAGTTTCTGAGATTAAATAATCAGTTCTAAATCAAAAAGGTCTCGGGCCTGTACTGTGTTGCACTAAAAACCAACTTTCTTTCCAACCCACGCTCTTGTTCCCCTGGTTCTACATATTAAAAAATCAGTGCTCACATAAAATGTAACAGGTTTGAAACTCATCAGTTTTTTAAGCAGAGGAGTGAGCCATTTTGTCAATGAAAGAGTCTGGTGCTCTGCTTTGTACTCAGTAGTGGTTTAAAACATGTTCCATGCTGTAAATTGCCAGTGACATGAACCATGGCTGAGGTTCATCATCATGCTGCACAGAGAGGTTGCAAGCTCTCAGTACTCTGGGACAGGTTTGCCATTCCATTCTCACACAGATAATCTTGCTGAACTCCCCCCTGGTAAGCAGAAGAGACTGTTCAGTCACCAACTATTCAGGGATTGAAGTTGCTTTGATTTGTGTACAAAATAAATATTCCTGAAGTCTCACAGCTTGGCTAAGACTGTCTTCTAGTGTACAGGGAATATAAGCAAAATCATTAGGAAGCAGTATGGATGGGTGCCCTCTTGAAGACAAACAGAGATTTTGCTGCTTTTCATTTTTTTCACACAAAGCTTGCTTATGAAGGTTATTGTGTATCATGATACCTCCTTTGTGATGGTTCCTAAATCATAGCACTTGTTTGGAAGAGAGGAATAGCCCAGTGAAACGAGTGCTGTGCTGGGCAAAGCTACTGAGGGAATCCTAACGTAAACCTGTTTGGAGGTCAGCAGTGCCCAGGTGACTGGGGCACTTGTGGTTTGTACCTCTGAGATGCACATGGCTCTTCTTAGGCACAAGTCAGGGAAGGAGTTAACTTTGCTGGGCAGCAATTCTTCATGTACCCTGGCTGACTGTTTGCCTAATCAGCTGGAGTCCCGCTGAGGAGAAACAACTAAGTGCAAAGAAGGATGGCTGATGGCAATGTTCTTAAAGGAACAGTGATTGTTCCCATCAAATTAGGGTAAAGATCTGACATAGGAGTGCATACTTTAGGCACAGTTGAGGTAAAACACACTCTTACTGAAAAGGTAAGCAGCAAGTGCACTTGGCTTTATAAATTGGGAAGTGACTGCAGAAGGTAAAACCTTACAAAAAACCACTCAAGGAGCATTTGCCTCACTGACCAGCCAGCCAAGCAGCAAAAGAAGAGCAAGGGAATAAGTGCTCTCAGCAGATGAAAATCACAGCAGGCCAATTAAACACAAGGACTTTGATCTTTCAGTGAAAAAATCACTCCTAAGAGATTCATGTGGGGATTAGAAAAGATTTTTACTTCTGCCCATAAACTTAAAAGGATCATGAATTTTAGTTTTATTTTAAAAGGTTTTATTTCCTTAATTTTTAAGCCATGAAATACAGCAGGGAGACAGTGACCTTTCTAGGAGACCACCTAGAGAACCAACCCAGAAGATTCTAGGCCTGAATTTAAATGACTTCTCAGTTTTCAGGGTGTGGCTCCTCTGTCTGGCAGTTTATTAAAATGGAGTTGGGGATCATGTGGCTTTTCTAGAGTACTCCAGAAGCTACAACTGAACATTTTACTCTACCAGGCATCCATTATAATTGAACACACAGCAAGTGTCAGCATATTTTATTTCATATAACTGCTTCATTAAATTCTTCTTTCTAGACTCAACAGATCCTAATCAGCCTTTTACTCTAATTTAAAAGTGTATTCACAGTGTATTATTTCAACACTGGCCATATGATGCAGGTTACAGAGCACATCTATGCAATTTACTCTTACAAAGCAAGCTCTGGTAATATACTACAGTTGGGTTATTTTCATCAGATTAGATATTGAATATTTTCCTCACAACAGCAACAAACTTCTCATCTGTTGGTGGCTTCCGCTGGCTGCCAGGCTGTAAGAATTTTTTGATTGTTGGAATGTTGCTGATTCTTCCTTTAAAAGCCTGTAAGAAACAACAGTAAAGCCAGTGAGATAAAGGAAATTATAATTCCATCCTTTATAATTTAAAGATCAGATGACTTGGATTTTTACTTGTCAGACATACTTATTAAACAGTAAAAGGTATTAGCTTTTTCTGATCTGTAATGCTGATGTTATACCTTTGTTTCCCAGATAGGAATGGGAGAAATTAATATTTAAGAGTTAAGATTCATCTAGTAAAAAGTGGAAGAAAAAACCCCACATAGCAATCCTGCAGATATATTTGAGGAAAAAAAAAAGAGGCAAAGACAGGAATATCTCAGTGCAAAGCACTACAGAAGTCAAGATATAGGAAACTTAACTGTTCTTTGTATATGATTTCTTAAAAATGTAATTTTGCTGGCAAAAAGAAAAGGACAGGAACTGCAGACACACCAGGGCACAGACTTTCCTTCTGGATATTGCTGCTGTGTTAGAAGATATGGAAGTAGCAGTTAAAGGACCAAATTGGTAGCACTAGTGAGTGAATTCCTGCCAGCTGAGAACAGTTAGGAAAAGCAGAACTGGAGAAAGGTGAGTCCCCAGCAGCTCTGAGGCAAGGCAGTGCACTGAGTGCAGGTTTTTGTAGTCAAGCAGACCAGAGAAGTGTCAGTACAATGGCTCAAAAGATGTAAACATCAATTAACTTCCAACAACAGTCAGTGAAATTTGTTTGTTACCTTCCATACTAACAGCAGATGATTACTGACCTGCAGCAGAGGGAATGCAGACAGTACATCAGGCTTACATTCTTCTACCATTAAAATGGCTTCCAGCAGATGGACATCTGCCCAGCTTAATTTGTTGCCAACAAGATAATCCTGTCCATGATCTTTTAAGGCCTATAAAGTATGAACAAATAAAAAAATTCACATGGGATGTAACTATTTTATCTAGGTATTTCATTGCAGACAGATTTCTGAAAAAACACAGCAGAGCAAAGCCATGCAAGAACCTATGAAGTTAGAAAGTGATACGTATTCTTTCAACAAAAAATTAAATCAGAATTCATGTTTCAGTGTGTGCAGTCCCATCTCTCACTCTAACCTACTGCACCAGGTAGCTGTATACCAAGTCCAGTACCACAAGAAAGACTTAATCACACAAAAGGAACAGGACTAAAGTAATTGGAAGAGGTAGTCAGGCCAGTTTACATGTAAGCACACCTCTAATTTTTAAGAAAAAAGTTAAGCGAATTTCTAGATGTTTCAGCAAAATTTGAGTCTGCTGATTACAGTTTGAAATATGTCCAGAATGAAGGAATACAACCTTCCCACCCTTTATCTTGTAAGGAAGGACTCCTTTATGGCAAACTGCTGATGCAAGAATCACAGCCTGCCAAATCTAACAAGTGTAGTGGACAAGTTGAGATGAACATTGCAGCACAGCTTCAGAGCAGTCACCAGCTCTCCAGCCTACCTTCGTCCTGAGGACTGTCACCCTCCCATCAGGAGCAAGAGAGGCCATGTCTGTGCCTAAGTCACACCAAGGCTACTCCAAATTAACAAATGTGCAGTAAGACATCAGTCTGTGACTCTGGAAGCCAACTGCTTCTCCAGGCCCATCTGTCAGTTCCACCAGAGAGGCAGCAATCATGGGCAGAGTCACAGCTGATCCCTTCACATACTTAGTTCTTACACTGCTCTAACAAGGTCTAGCACAGCTTGTTTATCACACCGTGTGGAAACTCCAAACATAGCATCTGATTGCCTGCAAGGCTTTGTATTGCCTTTTGCTGCTCCATCTGGCTGCTGAGTGTTTAAAGTGAACTCTCACAGCTAGGTATGTTTCCTGTCAGCTTCCAGAATGAGTAACACATAGACTGCAAACCCTGATAAACTGAATCAATAGACATCTTAAACAGCTGGTACAGAAAGAAAATTATTAACCATTTTAACAAAATTAACTAGGCTAAAATAATGGAAAAGTTCAGCTGTGTCTTTACATTAGCAAATAGGGGTTACTTTAAAGACTCTCCTACATAGAGCATACATGCTAAAACATATCACAACAGTACTTTATGCCACCTAAGCACAGGCTTAGAGAATTTTGGTGCATTTTTATTTTATAGTAACTTAAAACACATATTAGACTTTGAAAGATTTGGGTGTGTAATCAATATGTCTCAGCACAGCCTTCCATTGGTATGGGAGTGGATATATATGAACTCTGATTACAGAAGTGCTGGATTATCATTTACATTGTTATTTTACAGGGAGGCCTCTGTGGGTTTTGTTTGTACAATTTAAGACTCTAATAAAGTGGGACATGAAATTGCAGTTTCCTGTAGTTTTTGAGTGGACTTCAGCTGCCTGGTAACAAAGGCTTCAAGCTGGAAACCCAGCTCAGCTCTGAAACAGCACAGCTTTGTACCCTTGGCAGATTTCCGAGGAGACCACTGTGCCCTGAAAAAGCACTGTGAGAAAGTCTGTACAGCACAACCACACCTGGCACCAAAGGAAAAGTTACAAACAGAAGCAAACTTGTGAGATGAGGATCACAGCTGGCTCAATTCAAACAAGAAAATCTTCAAACAAAAAAATTCAAAATGTCCTTACAGGAGAAATAAAAGAACAAAACCAACAGCAAGTTGTGGAAAATGGCAGCTCAGTAACATCCAGGCAATGTTCCAGGGAGAAGAAAAGAACAATCCATCCCCTCCTGACCAACTCCTCCCTAGCCAAGAAAGCCTCGTCATGCGCTCTAAGGGGACAGCAGGCACAGCAATGCCTTCCCTCACAGCTCAGGCTCTTTGGTGCATGCTAGCCAGTAAATAATTGCTTTATGCTTTCTATGCTACATGTATCTTGCTTGCAGAGCCTCTCTGTGCACACCTAAGGATGCCCAAGTAGCAATTCAAAGAATGAAAATCATAGTCTCTAAATATAATACATTTAAGCAATTGATTTAAGGAAGATCATAGAATTAGATCCTTAGCTGTAAAGCACAAATATATTTTACTTTGAATAGCAGGAATAAAGAAGGCTGAGTGTGACACCTTATTGTTCTCTACAACACTCTGACAGGACATTGTAGTAGGGTGGGGGTCAGCCTCTTCTCCCAGGTAACAGTGACAAGAGAAAATGGACTCACATTGCACCAGGGCGGGATTAGATTAGATCTGAAGAAATTTTTGTTCATGTAAAGGGTTGCAAAGCACTGGAACAGACTGCCAGGGAACTGGTGGACTCACCAACTCTGAAAGTGTTCAAGAAACATGTGGATGTGTCACAGGAGGACACAGTTTGATAGTGAATATGGTGGTAGTGCTGGGTTGACAGTTAGACTTAATGATCTTTAGAAGGTCTTTTCTAACCTTAACAATTCTGTAACACATTACACTTCCAGACAATAAGTACTGAAGGCTGGCACAAGTATTGAAATGGTGCATTTAGGCAAAACACTGGAAGCCATCAACTACAACTTTTCCAACACTAAGCTAGGTTGGAAAAGAAAGACAGCAAAGAGACCCAGTACTGAAACCAGCCCAAAAATTATTTTGTGGCCCTCTTTCCACATTGCTGGATACCGGCTCCATCATACATTTCTAGAGTTCTACTGTCACTTGCCTTCTGGAAAGTATATGTGTGGGAATAGTGGGGGAGTGGGGTAGGAGGGGGAGCCCAGAACCCACTGTCTTTGTGAACTGCTGGTCATTTATCACTTACCTTTTCATAAACAGGGAAGTACCTGGTTGTAGCTCGTTCAATGATTAAGGCAAGATTCTTTTCTTTTGTATCAGCTGGTTGAAAAGGGAGATACATGATCATTCCCATTAGGTCTGTAGTTCCCTCCACGTACATATCAATCCTGGAACAAATATTTTTGTTCAACATAGATCATTCAAATTTCCCATTTTGATTATTTTCCTGAAATAAAACTTTGAAATGATCACTAAGTAAAATGTTTATTAGTGAATGTAACGTAATACACTGGTTTATTTTCTTGGTTCTTCCACTTTGAGAAAACTTCCAGCTTTTTTCAAAGCACAAATTGTAAAACGGGCTCACAGTATATGCAATAAGCAAAAAAAAAAGGCTGCAAGTAATGTATTTAAAGTGGAATTCATGCTATTTTCCATTAATAATCTATTCATTTATGCTGTGGGAGAAAAGACTGCACATGCAAACCACTTTAGGGGAAAAAAAATTAGTTTTGAGGTCTAATCATGAGAGGATGCTGGCTAAAAATTGCCAGTCCATAATAATCTCCACAGTCTCTGGAGGTGCCTTTCCATTCTCACAAAATAAACTCTCTACAGTAAGTGACGGTCTGCTAGGTATACTCACCTTTATACTAATGCTGTGCAGATACTTCACAGCAACATTCTTTCTGTAAATATTAACAATCATGGAGGAGTGTTAGTAAGCGGCACACTGTTACCATACCAGGCTCTCTCCTTCAGGTCCTTCCCATAGAGGTTGTACTTTGCTGCAATGTAGCTGAGGATGGCTCTGGTCTGCACCATCTTCATCCCATCCATCTCCACCATGGGCACCTGCTGAAACAGCAGGACTCCATCTAGGGAAGAAAAAGGATCAAGCTACTCAGGCCACTGAAATACTACACTGAAAATAAGGAAGAGACCTGGTAAGAGAACAAGACATTTCTAATTCTCAGGGATGAAAGCATACATAAGGAAGAAGTTCTTCTTTACAGGTCAGATCATATTGCAGGTCTTAAAAAAATACCTCCTGTTGTTCTTTTGTTCTGTGTGTGTGAATTTCTGTTTAGAGTACGGTTTACAGACTCACCATTGCGCAATTTTTCTAAGTCTTCTTTTGTCTCTATGAATTGTTCCTCAAACTGAAAAGCAACAATAGAAAACAACACTGTCACTCCAAAGGCAGTGGAGAAGTGGAAGGAAGTCTGGCAGTTAGAGCTCACCTCTTACACCATTCTCCATACTTCTCTCATTGTGTTGACCCTGTGAGGAATCCATTCAGTGCCAGGAGCTGGGTGAGCAGCTGCAGTTCCAGCTGCTCATGGAGCCCTGGGAGCCCAAGGCAAGAGCTGGGAACTGCCTCCCTTTGCACAACAAAGGGCATGGGGACGTGTGGCACTGGCCAGGTGAGCCACAGCAGGACCCCATGACCCCAAAGCTTCACTTAGACTGTGAGGGTATAAAAGACCAGCAGTTTCCTTTGTTTCAAGTCCCTCCCTGGAGTCATAATGTTACTCTGTTGTTGCACCACGATTAAATTATTTTAAGGACTGATGGAGAGGCTCCTGGATGGTCAGACAGGAAAGTTGCCTTAACAGAGCCCTATTTCATCTCTGCTCCAGCAGAGACTATAACCCAAGACTTTGGTGTCCCCAACTCCACAGGATTGTTCCATGCATTAAGCTCCAGAAAGAACTTCCTCGTTATAAAGACCACAGTCACCTGCATAAACCATAAATTGATACCAAATTACTCAATTAAAAAGCAGCTGATGCCACATGAAATATTGAAAAACCTATTGCAAATTATGCCTCTCTTACACAGCATTTATCTGCATCTTTAATCCACTGGATTTTTTTTTTTTTTCAATAAGGACATTTGAATGAGGACAAGATCTTGGTTTCCTCAGCACTTGTGTTCTGCAAATTCTCTGTCAGCAATATTCTCAAGTGAGCACCATTTTAAAAAAGCCTTTTATTTCCAACAGAGTATAAATAGTTCCAAAAAAATGTATTCAAACAAAAACTTAATGTAGGAATTAAGATGTCATAGGATGGCCTTCACCTGATGTGAATCTAGATAGATCCCCTAACACTGCCTTTGGGCACATCTGCTGATTTATCCTACTCAGGTCCTGACCCAAAGAACAAAAGGTGCTTTCTTTGGAGAGAATGTTCATAAGTTTTCATGTGGTATGCATGGTCTTTCAGTGGAGAAGACTCATGAGATACAGGGAAGTTATGAGCATTGGCAAAAAGTCATAGTTTTGTCTGTAGCAACAATTTACAATCTCATCTTAAAGTATGTTTCAAAAATTACACCCATCAATTCTCTTTATATGTTAAAATCTCTTCACTTGTAACTATGGCTCAAGGAATACATAAAATAAAACACAAGAGTGTATCACTCAATCTAAGCATTCTGCATCACAATTTGTGATGATGTGCATATCCCTAAGCACAGATGCAACTGGGAAACCCTTCCAGAGAATACCTATTTTAATCACAAATCACTTTATAAAAAAAGGTACAAACCTCAACCCCAGCTGCTGCTAACAGCCATCGGATTGACTCCATCTTCCCCCTTCCCTTGGTGTAGTGCAGCTTGGGTTTCCCCGCCATGATTTCAGAGTTCTTGTTTCCTGATAAAATCAAGATGATAATCTTATGGAAGCATGCTTTAAATTAGCATTTTGAATGTCCCACTCCAAACTATTAAATACAGTTGGATAAATGCGAAAGTAGAAGAACAATCAAGTCCTACATGCTTGTGTTTGATACAACCAAGTTTCCTGTGGATGAATGGAATAAAAGAAAAACTACACAGTAGCAGAATGTGCAGCCATTCAGCCACATCAAGACAATAAGATAATATAATATCCTAAATAATATATTATTGTAGTTTGAACAGCTTACTGAGTTTTACAACCAAGCAGAACTGTAGGGTATTCCTGAACTAGCACATTTTTAACCTTGCAGTGATGCAATCTCTTCAGTAGGTGCTGGGTTTTGTCACATGTCATACCGTGCTTGAAAAATGTACTGTATCAAATGAATGGCTTCCAAAGAACACCAAACTAGTGTCACCAGCACTGTTTTCACCTCTCTCATATGACAATTCAGAGCCCTGAGCTCCTGTGCCTTTACAAATATGCTTTTAAAAGCAACATATATCACCAGGGCTTCTACATTCCTTATCCAGCTGCTACAGTCAAACTGTAACAGAGATTTATATTCTATCTGCCCTGAACATTTAACTTTAAAATCAAAAACCAAATGGATGGAACTGACCTCTGTTGGGCAGATAAGGCCTGGGCAATGCCCCTGGCAGCAGGGGGCTCAAGTCAGCCCATCAGATGATGGCATTGGGATGAAACACTTAGTCCTTTCAAATTTCCTACCATGTGCAGTCACATGCCACTGTATGACATGGGCAGCTGATGTGAGCTTGCCTGATGCTGGAAACAAAGCTAACACTGTACTCTTATCTCTAATGGGTCACAGAAGAACGAAGCAAATTTCATAAGACAGAGGCACAGACTAACAGAGTGCTTCATTGTCAAGCCAAAGGTTTATCTGTTCACAGGCAGGCTTATTTATGCTTGCATTGACTTCACAATACATAGCTGAGCCACAAAGTACAAATTTTGGCCATAATCCCAAGGCATCAATAAAGAGGCACAGACAGCACAACAATGACAGGGGAGACTGCATCCTTGGGCCACTCCACTGAAGTCCTTTGTGCTGGGTGCTGTCTTGCACAGGCTCTACAGCATACAGCCATCACTCTGTCAGCAACTGACTCACAAGAGAAAGAGGTGCCCCCATCCAAAATGCAGATTTTCAAAACCACTGCTCAGCTTCCACCTATCCCTATGTCATAGTTTAGCAAGAGGAGAATTTTAAAAAATAATAGAAAACATCACTAAAAAACTAGACATGAAAAAAACCCGAGAACTTCCTCTTTTCTCTTTCACAAGTTACCAACAAATCATTTACAAGATCCAAACAACACGTTAACCCTTTCAGTACATCAAGCCTCCCTCAATAAGAAAAAAAACCCCTCAAAATACAAACATACAAAAAAACAACATAAAAACATCAAAGCCAGTAAAAAAAGCAAATCCTAGAGAAAAAAATAAAGAAATATCTTAATTTTAAAACTAAAATCCTCTTATAAACTATAGAGAAAAAACTCTTTTTCCCTATAACACCTAAAACTATAAAAAAATTTAAAAATCAAATTAATATAAAACAAAAACCTCCATATTAAAATAAACAAATATTAAAATAGCAGTAATCCCATTAAAAGTTTCTAAAAAGTAATCCTATACCCCCAAGAAAAAAATAAAAAAATCTCCGTTCCTAAAAATAAAAATAATTTTAAAAATAAATAATAAAAACTTTTACCTTTTAACAACTCATCTTTAAAACAATACCCCATAAATCAACATAAACAAACTGTAAGAAAGCTTATAAAAAATAAGAACTTCAAATTACAGATTTCCCCGAACAATTACTATTCGTTAAAAAAACACAAGAAAACTGGGTTTTTTTCTTACAGAAAAGTCTCCATAACATTAACAAAAAAGACTTCTCTCCCTAAGTAAACTAAAAAAAAATATTTTAAAAATAGTAAACTAACTAATTTTTTATTTTATTTACATTATCAGTAAGAAAAAAATTTATAAAATAAATAGAAATATTCTAAAAATTTTGTTCTAATTCTTATTACTCTTTCTTTTAGTTACTGTTAATAAACTTTTCTTTATACTCTTTTAAAATTTTAAACCTACTTTACCTTTCTCCTTATCCTACCTCACAACGAAAAATAAATACATTAATAATTAACCAACACCAAACCCACCACACTCTTTAATACATTAACCAAAAGAACCTCAAAAGTAATAAAATCTCAAATTAACAAACCAAAACCACTACACAAAATTAGGATTTCTACCCAGTTTCAAACTAAAACCACGATACGCTGGCAGTGTCTGTGTCCCTGGACACCTCAGTCCCTGGTAGCAAAGCTCCCCTGATACAAAAGGATGTGCTTGTCAATAGATTGTGTCTCGAGTGGAGCTGGCATCTCCTCCAGCCTGGCTGACACCTGAACAGGTCATTCAGAAAGGGACTTGGCACAGCTCCCTACCAGGCCCTACACACACAGGACCATGATCTAAACCTCATTTCTATTTCCCATGTACGACTTACACTATAACAAGTAAGAGAGCTCCTGACCTTCTATACTTCAGAAATACTTCATTCCCTGATGCTCAGAAAGTAAGTGTTGGTCTCAACTTCACCAGAGGAGAAGTGCACTTAAACCCTCACAGAATGGCCAAACATTCTAACCTCCAGCAGTGGGAGGTCCAGCGGGACCAAGGCTGAGAAACACACTGTAAGGACAAGCTAGCATAGGCAGAAAGAGCAAACTGACCTCTCCACAAAGCAGAGCTGGAGCTGATAAAATTCAGCCCACGCAGATCACTGATTGCCAGTGCTCCACTGAAAACCGAGACCTATCCCCTGAAAAGCCAGGAATATCTTCCTGCGAATGAACTGCTAAAGGTCTGAATTTGGGGTTCAGGCTGAACACTTACATAGGGCTGCAAACTATTTTGGACCCTTTCATGGCTCTGTAATGAATATCCCTTTGTAAAATACTGAGCAGTGATAAAAGAGTCGCAAAATTGGTAAATTGTCTTTCTTGAATAGCAAGAATGGACCTGAAAATTAATCACAAACTTTCTTGATGTTTTAGCACATCAGACTTTTCTTGGACCACAGCCACACAAGAGTCAGAGAGGCAGCCAGTGCTGTGATCGCTGTATTAAAAACACCCCACGTTGTTTTATCCAAAACAATTCAGACACCAGCCTTTCAGTGAGGAACAAGTAAATGAATTTAGCAGCAAGCTCATAATCTGATCCAAGATCTTGAACTTTCTTCCTATCTGGATACGGGCCCCAGAGCAGTTTCTCTGCAGCGCTTTGTTGCTCGGCCCCGTCCCGCACGGGCAGCTCCACAGCAGCCCAGCGCTGCCTCGCCCGGCCCGGCCTCCGGACCATCTTAACACTGCAGCTGCTCACCAGCGGGTGGCTTCCTCTGGGGCTCGGGCCAAGTCCGCCCGCGAAAAGCGTCCTTCGACCGCCGCAGGTCTGGACGAGGGGAAAGGCAAAGTACTCCCAGAGATTGCAAAACTCGCACTCCAAAGCGCAGTTTCTCTTCAGCTTCCCCGCTGATCGTACTAGAGCCAAACACAAAGAAACCCCCTCCGTGCCCACCCTCCCGCCCGTCCTGGTCCCTGCTGCAGGAAACAAGCTGGGGAATAACCCCTGGGCAAACTCCCTGGAGCAGCACGGCAGGACGCTCCTGAGGGCCAGCCGGTCTGTCACGCACCTCGCCCTTTGCCCTCCGGGCAGCAGCCCTGAGCCCGGCAAGAACCGGGCAGGAGCCCTGAGCCCGGCAAGAACCACTCGCTCCACCGGGCTGGCGCCGCCCGCCCCCCGCCCGCCGCCGCAGTACCGTGTGCCCGAGCCGCTCCGCCGCCACAGCCCCGGCACGGCACCGACACAGCGCCAGCACAGCACTGACACAGCCCGGCCCCCGACACACGACCCTCCCGCCCCGTCAGGCGGCCGCTCCTCCCCTCGGCTGCCGCCGTGCCCACCGCCCGCCCCGCCGGGCGCATCGTCGAACCCTAGCACGGCGGCTCAGGGAAAAGCCCCCCAGCCTTGTCCCTGCAGTCTTGCCGAGTTTCTGTTGCAAAATGTGGAATATGTAAACATCTTCTTGACAAAGGATGTGCTTTGATGTTTGATCTTTGTATACTTTCAAGCCTAATCAACAAGAAAGAAGTTCTAATCTGTGAAACAGAGAGCGGCTACCTAACAAGGTCTAAGTGAAGTCCAGCTGTGGGAAAGAGAAATTACTTGTCAGGAGAATTGCCTTGTTAAGAGTTGAACATGTTTTAATGATCTCAAACCTAGGGGGAGTTTACAAGGCTTGGAAAGAACGATGGACCTCTGATAGTGGATACATAAAATACAGAATTTATGGGCCACAAGGGCATTTGGCAGAACTCCCAAGATAAGGAAGAAACTAAAAAAGCCCACTCAGCAACTTTGCTGAGATGAGCTCTGAACGGGTAAAAGATAATTCTGGCAGGGAGAGATTTTCACACTACTGACTCACAGCCCACTAACTCAAGAAATCAAAAGAAGAGAAAGACCCAGTGAGCATGTAGACTAATTAGCATGAGAAGAGGGAGAATCATGAACCAATAGAAGAGAGAACATTGATTATTAAGAGAACTAGACGACTTGTAGTCAATGAACATTAATGCCTTTGCTTGCTAAAATGAATAAATAGGAAAAACATGTTATTGATTTTTGGAATACCACCAAGCAACCAGGCTTGCACAACTCTGAAATTAATAGTCAATGTCTCACTTAAGTGTGTAATTATGGGTTCGTTGCACACTGGGTAACAAACGTAGATTTTCTGGACAACATTTCCACTGGGCTGGCTCCAAGGCAGCTGCACATCAGGGACATGGCCAGGACACCCTGAGCAGGGGACAGGCTCAGAGGCCCCGAGGCAGCAGCGATTGTGTGAGCAGCGGGAGGCTGGGGCTGCAGGCCCTGTGCAAGGCATGCAAGCAATCCTTGTGCCAGGGCCTCTGGCTCTGTGTGGCCAAAAACTGGGGTCTCTGTGGGGGTCCTGACACCACATGGCCATGCCAGGAGCTCATCCTCAGAGCAGGCCTCATGGCATGGAGTCAGTACCCACAGGCCAAGTTTCTGGTGGCACTCAGCAGCTGCCAGTGCTGTCTAAATGCTTCAGTGAGGCAGGAGAGAAACAGCTCCTGCAACAACCCTCTGTAGTACTTTGCTGCTGAAAAACATGGGTTTATTTCCTTTTTTGATGACAAAAATTGGTTCCAGCTGCATGACATCTCCTATGGAGAAACTGTTGGCTTTAGCAAGAGCTACAGAGCCCTGAGTTTGCCCAGCTGAAAACTGCCAGTGCTCTAGTTGTAGCTGGATTTAGGGCACTGACTCTTTCATTTACAAACTTGCTTGATTTGGTGTTTAAGTAGTATCACAGAATCATAGAATGGTTTGGGGTAGAAGGGACCTTAAAGATCTAGTTCCAACCCTCCTGCCCTGGGCAGGAACACATTTCACTACATAAATGCACATTTTTATCAAAGTTCAACAGTCTTGCTAACCTTAGTAGTGGAGCTTGATCAAAGTGATTAGAATGAACAACTGCAGTACAACTTGTATTAAACTTGGTTTCATATTCAGTGACATAAGTCAACATGGATTCCTGCATTCCAGGGTCTCACTAAGACCTGACACCATCCTGGCTCCTCTTTTCTCAGTAAGTTTTAAGCTGGTGCCCAGCATTTGTTTCTCAGAGTCTGCAAAGGGCTTTTAGCTGCTGCAATAGACCCTCTGATAAAGGAAACATGGCTGAAGCTGCAGCACAAGACTTCAAGTGTCTAGTGGCAAAGCAGAGGTGCAGTAGGAGCTCTGGTCCAAGGATATTCCAAGTGAAGCTCAGAGGAAAGCTGAATCCAAACTTTCAGCCTCAGCTAACCAGAACATGCAGGCTTTTCCTGGCATTTCCCAGAAAAAAACACCATGACCTACTGTTTGGATTAATCTCTCCTAATTTTCCAACAATTCTTGGGAATGCAATAAAAACAGAACCGGACAGATCTTAGGCATAGAAGCAGCAGCAAGAAATCAATGAACAGCTGGGTTTTGAGTATCAATAGTAAGAATTTATTTCAGGTATTCTCTTTAGTTATTTAAAGCATTCTGTGTTGTCCAATATACCCCCTATTTAGTGAACTATTGCCTTTGCTGGTAGGATCAAGATTGGTTTTCAGTGTTTTCATTATTTTCCCACTGTCAGCAACATAATGAATATAGTTTCTGCAGCTTTAGACTCAGTAGAAAATCTTGATCACTTTGGGTACCTCTTCCTCTCGTATTAGCGGTTTCCTCTGGCTGCCAGGCTGCAGGAATTTCTTTATTGTGGGGATATTGCTTATTCTTGCTTTGAAACTCTACAAAACAAAATCAAAACAGCACAGTGCTGTCAGACATTTCAATGTTATCCATGCTCTGAAAGACACACCACAGCTTGATGCTGCAGAAGAAACTGTATGCTTCCTCCTCCTATATTTTTGGGGTTACAATGACAGAAGGTACCACAAATAAAAAAAAGAGTATCCAAGGCCAGCCACAGTACTTGGGATATTTTACTATTTTGCATGTTACTTCTGACCCTCTCACTCCCACATATTTTTCAGCCACTTTAAATCAGTGGCCCTTTCCTTTCATTCTCCATTCAAATTGCCCATTCATTTACCTGCAAGACAGGAAATTTGGCAAGTGTATCAGGTTTGCACTCCTCTGCCATTAAAATGATTTCAAGTAATTGAACATCTGCCCTGCTCAGCTGGTTGCCAACCAGAAAGTCTTTTCCATGGTCTTTCAAAACCTAAAAAAAGAGAACAGAAGCAGATGAAGTCTTTGCTCTGTTAATAAAATATAATATATATATAAAATATGTAAATATATAAAATATAACTTTATCTTTTCTTCTCTCAGAAAAAATATATCTTCAAAGCAGGGTCACACATTGCATGGAGTTCTCTGTGAAGGAAGGAAATGCAGTTCAAACAGCTGTAGTACAAACAATGATCAGAAGGCACTGCCATCCTAAGCATCATCTATCAGCTCTTTCACTTCTACATTCCTGTCTGGCAGCTCAGTTGTGCTCAACATGCCTTGGCTGCTGTAGCTGCACTGAAGGCTGAGCTGTATGACATACAGGAGGAACTCCAATGCTTTTACACTGCATCTATGGTACACAGCATCTATGGGCCACCTACAATACATGATGAAGTTGATGTCAAAGCTGGTGCTGTAGTGTCTTTTGTCTGAAACAACAGACACTCTGAAACATGGACATTTGGGGAGCTCTGGGTGTGCTGGGTTTTTGCAGCTGTACATCTCTCCCAGATTTGAAGTGCCTTCTGTCCCCTCTGGAGTATCCTGTCTCCACCTTAATCCCAGCACCACTAAAAACCAGAACACTGATTTTCCAGGGGTAGCTTCTCTTCTGTTTTCCTCCATGAAACTTGTGTGCTTCCAGGATGGAGGTTCAAGGTAACAGCATCAATTGAGCTACAACTCTTTGCCACATACCTTCTCAAAGACTGGGAAGTATCTGTTTTCAGCCTTGTCCATCATGTTTGCAAAATGTTCCTCCTTTTTGTCTGCTGGTAGGTAGCCATATTTCATTAGTAACTCATTCAGATCGAACATTCCTTCCACGTACATATCGATTCTGAAAGGAAGAGATCCACTTGGTCAGGTCACACACAGTAGGTCTGAACAGCACAATAACTCCTGGCAAAACCTCACTGAGATGCTGAGAAATCCCTGCCCCTTCTATCCCACACACACACCAATACCCTGGCAAAGTTCCCCCTGGAATGCAGTTGCACTGGGGCCAGGCAGGGGGGGAGCTTGGGCCAAAGGCAAATGCAAAATTCCTAGGGAAACATGAAGACTGTAGGACTCCCACTTCTTACTGCGACTGATTCTTGTCTGGAACATGAGTTTTTGAACCTGATTACAAAACTGTCATGTGCCATCCAGACTTGTGTTAAAAATCCAATCAGCCTAAGTTTAACAGCAGGTCCACACCATTTCAAGCAAATATCTTGACTCATGTGTTTACCAGGGCTTAGTAATTTCAAGCATTCAGAAATACCTCAGGTCAAAACATGTGCCCCAGGAGTGCTCTCCTTTAATAACCTGTAATTAAATCTGTACTAATTCCTGGTTAGTAGTGAGAGGAGGGTTTTTGTTCCCTTAAAAGACATTTCCCTGAATGTGATGAGGAGGAAATGATGCTGCTGACAACTGCAGAAGAAAATGAAATGCAGCATCAGAAGGACAGTCTGCCCCCCTGACTGCTTTCTTCTGGCAAGTGCATTGACCTCTGACTGATGATTCCTGGGCTCACTTGCCCCATGGAATCCAGCTGGCTCTCTCTGCTGTAGACATCAGCTGCAGCCACAGTGATCTCATGCAGTGCTGCCCTCTGCCACTGAATCGAGCTGTGAGCTGCACACCCTTGTGTTTCCTGAGCTACAGGGGGAGCTGGGGTCTAACAAGCAAAGGTGGTACTGTTACAGTACAGGGCTCTCTCCTTCATGTCCTTCCCGTAGAGGTTGTACTTGGTCGCTATGTAGTTGGCAATGGCTCTGGTCTGCACCAGCTTCATCCCGTCGATCTCTACCATTGGCACTTGCTGAAAGAGCAGGGATCCATCTAGGCCAAAGGGAATAACACAAGGAGAAGTTCAGTCCCTCAGTGAGAGGCACCAGCATGTGTAAGGCAAAGTAACCACATGGATTACTTTTTTTTTAGAATCTGAATCAATCTGGCTGGATAAAAAATCCCAAGATCATCAAATCCAATTGTAAAATCAACAATGCCTAATTCCACCACTAAACCCTCTCCCCAAGTGCACCTCTACACGCAGTGACTCAACCACTTCCTTGGGCAGCCTGTTCCAATGCTTGAGAACCCTTTTGGTAGCAACCTTCCTCATTCTTACAGGCAGGTGTGGAAAATGCTCACCATGCAGCAGCCTCTTCTTAGTGACATGATAACAACTTAATACAATAGCAATGAAGTTGTGGGAATTTCAGATTGAGGAAACAGCCCAAGGCAGAACTGGCAGCAGTCACACGCTGAAAAATACATGCACTGCATGGCTCTAACACAGGTGATTTTCATGCAGGTTCATAGAGATGAGAAGGACTGAAAGATCTGGTCCAGCCAGTTTCTGTCGTGCTCTGCTAAATACATCTGGACTTTCTAAGCACTGGCCAACATATAATGTGAATAATAATGAATATATAAACAATAGTGAATAGAAAAGCAAAGAAGATCTTTGTGACAACTTTTTGACATTACAAATGGCAGCTCATCTGTACAAGCATGAAGTGGGAACAGTGAGTGACTTCCATGAGATTCCTGCAAGACCCAAATATCACTTGGAGTGAGGCTGCAGCCAGGCAACGCTTTTGCTAGCACGCAGAGGTCTTATCTTAACCTGAAAGAAGTAAAAACACTTCTCCAGAAAGAGAGGTATCAGGTCAGAGAGTCAGCAAGCGTTTTTGCTTGATGGAATCATATTTCTTGACTCAGATGACTGATCAGCTATGTCCCTCTTGGTAAGGGTGCATTTAGCATTCTGTTTATGTCCCAAAATACTTTTTGAAAGCCAGCCTCTAACATAGGGACCAAGTCATTATTCCTACAGGACAGCAGGACTGCAAATGCTAACCCAAGCTCAGGTTGCTTTTCACAGGCCATGGGCACAGCCATGCAATTTGGTTTGGAGGAAACATGATTATCATGTCCAGGAACACAGAAGCTGAAGCCAGCACAGTGGGTTGCTGCCTTGGGAGGCAGGAGTGCTGCAGAGCAACAGGTAAACTCAGAAATCTGGAATTCTGTTTTCATAGGGATCATAAAACAACAACTTTGTAGGCAACCTAAGATGCTAAAGACTTTCAAGATGATCTGAAGACAAAGGCCTCTATTGCCATAGGATGGAAGGCAATGGTCACAAAGTGAAGCAAAGGAGTGAGACCATGTGGGAGACGGCCACTGGGTGCCAGCTGTAGGGGCTGATCTCTGGGGCCGTTCGGGTCCCATCCGGCTGCTCTGGACCCCCGCCCATCCCAGCCTTTACGAGGACAAAAGTAAAAGACTCGGGACCAAAGTCCTACTTTATTCCTTGATAGGTGTCACCTGGAAATCTAGGCAACATCTCTGGGGGAAAAGAGGAGGAATGCTTGATGGGGGGAGATTTTGAACCAGTGAATGGAGGGTGGAGGAAAAGAACCACAGGCAGTGGGATACAAGTGAGGAGGGGGAGAGGGGAGGAGGAGACCAAGGAGAAACCACTACTACTGGGGCTTAGGGGGGAAAGGGGAGAAGGAGACAGACCATGTGATCAGTGCAATTTACCAGACACCCAGTGCAAAACAACAACTAAATCAACTATTTAGTGCAATACAACAAAGGAGAGTCAACCATCTGAACTTCAAGAAAGGCTCTTTGACTGTGTGGCTTGTCCAGAGAAGCTGTACATTCTCCAACCTTGGAGATACACAAAACCCAGCTGGACATGGTTCTGGCTAACTGGCTGGAGGGGGCCTTGCTCGAATGGGGGAGGTGGAGTAGATAATCTTGAGAGGTCCCCTCTGAACCCTTCTGTGATTCAGTGGAGGTTGAAGCAACTGGGTGGATGATATCACCTAATACTGCAGTATGCACTTCTGAGAGTGTACAATCCAGTCTAAGACATTTTCTTTTTAAGGCACTAAGCCTTAACAATTCTTAGGTGATCTCAGACAAGCAATTCGAATTCTAATTTTAATTCTGATGATGATGATGATGATGATGATTATTCCTGCTGTTATTATCTAAAAGTGAAGGAAACTTACCCTTCTGCAACTTTGTCAGATCCTCCTTTTTTTCCAAGAAAGATTCTTCAAACTGCAGGAAGAAGAAAAGTTCTGTTGTCATTCCATGATTTTGATTCTCCAAATTTAGGTAAAGAAGGCCTAGAGGAGATGTGTTTTGAGCAATTTTATATTTTTATAACATAAATCGTATTTTAAAGCTGTCAGACACCATGGCCATCACTGTGACAGAAACCCATGGATGATCATGCAACACACAGACTCCCATACACCATCTCTGGTTTAGTATCAGAATCTGTCAGAGGTAAAAAAAAACAAAACTGTAGTTTTGGACATTGGACATTGGAATTTAACTGAAGGGACTCAGAATTGCAGGTGCTTGACCTCTGTGATTAATCAGAAGATTAAGAAGCCAGGTTCTGCTGCTGGGGTTTTAAATTTCTTCTCTCTCTTGCTACAGGGGAGGAGCATTTGTGGTGCTACCTGCAGGCTTTGCACACGATGCATGCAAGTGAGACAGGAACTTGCCCCCTGCTTAGGGCAAGCTCGTGGTCCCTGTTGGCCTGCTCAGCAATGCACTGAAGGCAGAGCTTGAAGCTGCTGCTCAGTCACACTTTCAGAAGGAACAGGAGAAGCACATATTTGTCACAGGGTCTCAGTACAAAAGACCAGAAGCAAACCTCAACCCCAGCTGCTGCCAGGAGCCACCGAATTGGTTCCATGCGACCACGTCCATTGAAGTAGTGCAGCCTGGGTTTTCCAGACATGTTTCCACGTGCCTGATTCCCTGGTATCTGCAATGAAGAAAGAAGGTTTGCACAATAAACATTCATAATCCTGGATTCAACTCTCTAATTCGCTTTCAAAGTTGTCTTTTTTGAAACCAATGATTTATCGTCCAAGACTTTACTTAATCAACAGTGGAGGTAAAAGGTAGGATTTATTGAGAGACTGCCAGGTATCATTCTGCCTTCAGATATTACTTACACATGCAGAATATTTAAGCAGAACTCTGTACTTAGAGCAATTGGCCCAGACAGAGAAGCAGTCAATCAGAACAATTTTCATTCAAAGTGTTCTGTTCTGACCAGAAAGCTGCGTGTGCTCTTCGGGTATTTTGGCAATATCTCAGAACTCAGTTACTGTTTAATCAGATACATGCTACAAACTCAGCAATTGCTCTGCTTTCTCCAGCAGCCATTATGCTCCATTATAACCAGCCAGGAAGGAATTCTTTCCATCAGTCAATCCCTTTTACAACACTCCATGCTTCTGAAATGTCTTTAGACAAAACCTCCAAAACATGGAAGTTAATTTTGCCCCTGGTAACATCAGATTTGCCTTTACCACAGGCACAGCCACAGGGCTACGCTTGCTTGGTCCACTTCCAACTCTGCTGGAATTTCAAGCAACAACAATTTCTAGGCAGAAACTTAAAGCAACAACAGTTTCTAGGCAGACTGTCACCCACCCCACTCAGAACCATGGGTGCACATCAGCCACAAAGACACCCAAACAGTGCCCAGCCTAGACCAGCCTCACACCTATTGACACCCTGTCAGCAACAAAGCTGAAGCTTTATCAGCAGCAAAAGGAAAACAGCCAAACCACCACTATAATCCCCTTGTAAATAACATGTCAGCTTCTCTAGAGTAGGAAGGAGGAGGTGAGAGGAAACATTCCCCACTTGTTGTATCTGCACTTCTTTTTCTAATTCTGTGCACCTCAAAAGCAGCTGATTAAGAATTAACATTTGGTACACATAACCATGTTAGTAAAGCAAGTACATACACACATTCAATCTATAAATTCACATACAACAACTCATTGCATGTCTAAAATAAAAGAACCCACTTACATTGTGCAGTCAATCTCACTCTAAACTCTCAGCCGTTCTGCCTTGAGATTATATAACTCTAGAGCCCCGCCTACACCAAGTATCGCAAACAATTCTCTGCAAATGAGAAACCTCTTTCTCTTAAGCAAACAAAACCCATGATCTCTCTTTAGTTACTACTCACCTACAGAGAATAAATCCCTGAGTAATGATGACAATGCAGAAATGTAAGATAGATGATCATTGGAAATATCTGTGTCAGCACAGAATGGTAATATGCCTCCTATTTGCCAGTTAAAAATAATTATAGTGTCTGAAAAGCTCATTCAGATTAAAAAAATACTGCTATGCCAATCACCTTTTATTCTAATGTTTTCTGGGTGTTTACTTTTTACACATTGCCACTTTACATAAATCACATCAACTAATTCACCTCAAATCTGACACAAGCTTCTATGCCTTGCTAAGTGTATATTCCTTCAGGACATTTCTGCTCAATTCCATCAATGGACATTGGGGTGGGTTTTGACAATTTTGGTCAAAAACATTTCCCTGAATTTGACTCAGTGTAAATACACACCAAAGAGAACTGTGAGAGACAATGAATGAAGTGTGGTATCAGAAGGCAAACTGCCCTCTGCACTCCTGACTGTTTTCTTTTGCCAACTGTATTGATTTCAAAATGTCATTACAGAATAATCCTCCATGCACCATCCTGCCTATCATGGTTAATATTGATATTGGTAGGCAGTACCTGCGGTCAAGGTCAAAAAATACATGCAAAAGTTTTCTGAATTACCCTGAACATGGCAGTGGGCAGGAATATTCTTATGTTACACAGGGAGGTTGTATAACTTGCAGTGTGTCACACAATACAATCGGTTTGTTACAATAGGAGGGGCTTTTTCCCTCCGGTCCTTCCTGGACACGAGCTGCAAGTGTTGTCCAAATGCTTCAGTGATTCAGGAGAGAAACAGCTCCTGCAACAACTCTCTGCATCTTTCAGCATGCTTTGCTGCTGAAAAACATGGGTTTATTTCCTTTTCTGATGACAAAAACTGGTTCCAGCTGCATGACATCTCCTATGGAGAAACTGTTGGCTTTAGCAAGAGCTACAGAGCCCTGAGTTTGCCCAGCTGAAAACTGCCAGTGCTCTAGTTATAGCTGGATTTAGGGCACTGACTCTTTCATTTACAAACTTGCTTGATTTGGTGTTTAAGTAGTATCACAGAATCATAGAATGGTTTGGGGTAGAAGGGACCTTAAAGATCATCTAGTTCCAACCCTCCCGCCCTGGGCAGGAACATATTTCACTGCATAAATGCACATTTTTATCAAAGTTCAACAGTCTTGCTAACCTTAGTAGTGGAGCTTGATCAAAGTGATTAGAATGAACAACTGCAGTACAACTTGTATTAAACTTGGTTTCATATTCAGTGACATAAGTCAACATGGATTCCTGCATTCCAGGGTCTCACTAAGACCTGACACCATCCTGGCTCCTCCTTTCTCAGTAAGTTTTAAGCTGGTGCCCAGCATTTGTTTCTCAGAGTCTGTAAAGGGCTTGTAGCTGCTGCAATAGACCCTCTGATAAAGGAAACATGGCTGAAGCTGCAGTACAAGACTTCAAGTGTCTAGTGGCAAAGCAGAGGTGCAGTAGGAGCTCTGGTCCAAGGATATTCCAAGTGAAGCTCAGAGGAAAGCTGAATCCAAACTTTCAGCCTCAGCTAACCAGAACCTGCAGGCTTTTCCTGGCATTTCCCATAAAAAAATACATGACCTCTTACGTTATGGGTGGTTGGTTGGAGGCAGACACAACACAGACTCACCAAGCAGTCCTCAACAAGCCACGTGTTTTATTGTTCGGAGTTTCTTCTATAGGCAGCTCTAAACTACCAGGTCTCAGCTGCTGCTTGGTCTGGGTCTTAACACAGCCCAATACTCTTACCAGTAATGTCTCTGCATTGATGGTTGAGAGGGATTAGTTGGGGTGCTCTGTTTGAGTTCAAATCTATCCTATTACTCTTCACCTACTGAGTTATTTATCAAACTAGAAGAGCCAAAATAGGTTTCATATTATAGCCAGATTTATTTGTCCAGCTACAGATTAGCTGTATTGTGACAAAGACCTACTCTTTGAGATAATCACTCTTAATTTTCCAACAATTCTTGGGAATGCCAGAAAAACAGAAGCAGACAGATCTTAGGCATAGAAGTAGCAGCAAGAAATCAATGAACAGCCAGGTTTTGAGTATCAAAAGTAAGAATTTATTTCAAGTATTCTCTTTAGTTTTTTAAGGCCTCGAGTGTTGTCCAATATACCCCCTATTTAGTGAACTGTTTCCTTTGCTGGTACACTCATGTAGTTTCACAATGAAGTGTCTGCAGTAGGCTAAAATCAGTCCTGTAGCTAAGGAAAGAGAGATCAATCCCCTTTTTTTTCACTCATTCCATTAGATTCACTTTGCCACTAACAGGAAATACAATGAAATACCCATACAGTTTGTATGGGTTTAGACAGCTGCTCAAGAGCGGAATATTTTCATTGCTCTGGCGACATCTTCCTCTGTTGTTCGTGGTTTCCTCTGGCTGCCAGGCTGCAGGAATTTCTTTATTGTGGGGATATTGCTAATTCTTGCTTTGAAACTCTACAAAACAAAATCAAAACAGCGCCGTGTTTAAGAATCATTGCAGCTGTCAGAAATTTCAATGTTATCCATGCTCTGAAAGACACATTACAGCTTGATGCTGCAGAAGAAGCTATATGCTTCCCTCTCTTATGCTTTTGGGGTTGTAGTGACAAAATGTGGCAATAACATTGAGTATGTGAGGCCAGATAAATTGTTAGGGTATTTGATGATAATATATATTGATACTATTATATAATTGTTAGGGTACTTGATTATTTTGCATGTTACTTCTGACCCTCTCCCACATATTTTTCAGCCACTTTAAATCAGTGCAATTTCCAATTCATTGTACATTCAAATTGCCCATTCATTTACCTGCAAGAGAGGAAATTTGGCAAGTGTATCAGGTTTGTACTCCTCTGCCATTAAAATGACTTCAAGTAATTGAACATCTGCCCTGCTCAGCTGGTTGCCAACCAGAAAATCCTTTCCGTGGTCTTTCAAAACCTAAAAAGAGAGAACCAGAAGTAGATGATGTCTTTTATCAGTTCTTTTCTCATAAATAATGTAATATCTTCAAAGCAGGGTCACACATTGCACAGAGTTGTCCACAAAAGAAGGAAATGCAGTTCAAACAGCTGTAGTACAAACAATGATCTGAAGGCACTGCCATCCTAGGCATCATCTATCAGCTCTTTCACTTCTACATTCCTGTCTGGCAGCTCAGTTGTGCTCAACATGCCTTGGCTGCTGTAGCTGCACTGAAGGCTGAGCTGTATGACATACAGGAGGAACTCCAATGCTTTTACACTGCATCTATGGTACACAGCATCTATGGGCCACCTACAATCCAGGAGGAACTTGATGTCAAAGCTGGTGCTGTAGTGTCTTTTGTCTGAAGCAACAGACACTCTGAAACATGGACATTTGGGGAGCTCTGGGTGTGCTGGGTTTTTGCAGCTGTACATCTCTCCCAGATATGAAGTGCCTTCTGTCCCCTCTGGAGTATCCTGTCTCCACCTTAATCCCAGCACCACTAAAAACCAGAACACTGATTTTCCAGGGGTAGCTTCTCTTCTGTTTTCTTCCATAAAACTTGTGTGCTTCCAGGATGGAGGTTCAAGGTAACAGCATCAATTGAGCTCCAACTCTTTGCCACATACCTTCTCAAAGACTGGGAAGTATCTGTTTTCAGCCTTGTCCATCATGTTTGCAAAATGTTCCGCCTTTTTGTCGGCTGGTTGGATAAAATACATGATGAGTAACTCATACAGATCGAAAATTCCTTCCACGTACATATCGATTCTGAAAGGAAGAGATCCACTTGGTCAGGTCACACACAGTAGGTCTGAACAGCACAATAACTCCTGGCACAACCTCACTGAGATGCTGGGAAATCCCTGCCCCTTCTATCCCACACACACACCAATACCCTGGCAAAGTTTCCCCTGGAATGCAGTTGCACTGGGGCCAGGCAGGGGGGGGAGCTTGGGCCAAAGGGAAATGCAAAATTCCTAGGGAAACATGAAGACTGTAGGACTCCCACTTCTTACTGCGACTGATTCTTGTCTGGAATATGAGCTTTTGAACCTGATTACAAAACTGTCATATGTGCCATCCAGACGTGTGTTAAAAATCCAATCAGCCTAAGTTTAACAGCAGGTCCATACCATTTCAAGCAAATATCTTGACACATGTGTTTACCAGGGCTTAGTAATTTCAAGCATTCAGAAATACTTCAGGTCAAAACATGTGCACCCGGAGTGCTCTCCTTTAATAACCTGTAATTAAATCTGTACTAATTCCTGGTTAGTAGTGAGAGGAGGGTTTTTGTTCCCTTAAAAGACATTTCCCTGAATGTGATGAGGAGGAAATGATGCTGCTGACAACTGCAGAAGAAAATGAAATGCAGCATCAGAAGGACAGTCTGCCCCCCTGACTGCTTTCTTCTGGTAAGTGCATTGACCTCTGACTGATGATTCCTGGGCTCGCTTGCCCCATGGAATCCAGCTGGCTCTCTCTGCTGTAGACATCAGCTGCAGCCACAGTGATCTCGTGCAGTGCTGCCCTCTGCCACTGAATCGAGCTGTGAGCTGCACACCCTTGTGTTTCCTGAGCTACAGGGGGAGCTGGGGTCTAACAAGCAAAGGTGGTACTGTTACAGTACAGGGCTCTCTCCTTCATGTCCTTCCCGTAGAGGTTGTACTTGGTCGCTATGTAGTTGGCAATGGCTCTGGTCTGCACCAGCTTCATCCCGTCGATCTCTACCATTGGCACTTGCTGAAAGAGCAGGGATCCATCTAGGCCAAAGGGAATAACACAAGGAGAAGTTCAGTCCCTCAGTGAGAACCACCAGCATGTGTAAAGCAAAGTAACCACATGGATTACTTTTTTTTTAGAATCTGAATCAATATGGCTGGATAAAAATCCCAAGATCATCAAATCCAATTGTAAAATCAACAATGCCTAATTCCACCACTAAACCCTCTCCCCAAGTGCA